ATTTAAACCTTATTGTTTTCAATCAATAAAATCTGTCAGTTTGCAATATCTTGTGAGGTTTACATTGTGGTATCAGAGCCCCACAGCAAGCTGTAACCAGTATTTGAACAAAGTGAGATTAAGAGTGGTGAGTGAAAAGATTGTGTGATCTGGGTTCAGGGAAACACGAGTGATTATTGTGAGGAATCTGTGTAATCAGGGTGAGTAAAATACTGTGAAAACAATCATGAGTGATAACAACAGTGGTGCTCAGGTGTGTATCCCAAAGTTTGATGGGGACTATGAACAGTGGACACTGTTGATGGAAAACTTGCTGAGATCGAAGGAATACTGGACTGTCATCAGTCCTGGCTTCAGGGAACCTGCTGAGGGAGAAGTGCTGTCTCCAGTACAGCTCAAGAATCTGGAAGATATGAGATTGAAAGACTTGAAGACCAAGAACTATCTATTTAGTTCTATGGACAGAACCTTGTTAAAAACCATTGCCAAGAAGAGCACTGCAAAGGAGCTGTGGGAATCTATGAAGGAGAAGTTTCAAGGAAGTGCCAGGGTTCAAAAAGCTCAGCTTCAAGTACTTAGAAGAAACTTTGAACTTATTGAGATGAAGGAAGGGGAGACTGTTTCAGAGTATTTTGGTAGAGTTATGGTGATTGCTAATACCATGAGAAACTGTGGAGAAGATATGCCAGATGATAAGATTGTTGAAAAGATCTTGAGAACCTTAACTGAGAGGTTCAATTATGTAGTTTGCTCCATTGAAGAATCAAAAGATATCAACTTGTTAACTGTTGATGCACTGCAAAATTCACTCTTGGTGCATGAACAAAAGTTCAGTAGAAAGACTGCAAAGGCTGTAGCAGAAGAGGATCATGCTCTCAGGGTATCTCATGATTATGGAAGAGGAGGAAGAGGTCCAGGCAGGGGCTTCTATTCTGGAAGAGGCAGAAGCAGGGGTAGAGGATGGAATAGGGAGACAATTGAATGTTTTAAATGCCACAAGTTGGGCCATTTCAGGAGTGAGTGTCCTGAATGGTACAATGATCAATAGGCTCACTATACCAACTTCTATCCAACACAAGATCGATCCATGGGAGACATGAAGGATGATGTCTTACTTATGGCTTGTGTTGAATCCAAAGACTCAATTGAGTTGGAGGAAGAAACACTAAGCTTGATGGCTCTACTGGATGATGTAAAACAACACAAACATGAGGATTGGTGGTTTTTGGATTCTGGGTGCAGCAACCACATGACAGGAGAAAAGAAGTGGTTTACTGAAATGGATGAAGAGTTTTCTGGGACTGTGAGACTAGGAAATGACAACAAGCTGGCTGTAACTGCAAAAGGTAACATCAAACTAACAGCATCTGATGTCAATCTAGTCATTCAAGATGTGTTTTATGTTCCTGGTCTCAAAAGTAACCTGCTGAGTGTGGGACAGCTTCAAGAGAAAGGCTTGGCTTTCCTGATAAAAAATGGCTGCTGTAAAATATTTCATGAAAGCAAAGGAATGTTACTTCAGACTGAGATGAAGTCAAATCGCATGTTTGTCATTCATGCCGAAGCTCCACAACCAGTTCCAGGAAACTTTGTCTGCAGGTCACAGATAAGAGCAGACAGCCTCTGGGCTTATGGCACAGGCGATTTGGACATCTAAATCCTCAAGGTCTGCAAACACTTCAGAAGAAAGGCCTAGTAATGGATATGCCACCTCTACATGGAGACATAGGAGTCTGTGGGACATGTCTCACTGGAAAGCAGCATAGGAAACCTTTTCCCAAGAAAAGTGACTGGAGAGCAACTCATAGACTGCAGCTTATTCATGCAGATCTATGTGGACCTATCACACCCACCTCAAATGGTGGAAAAAGGTACATCTTCACTCTCACTGATGATTTTAGCAGAAAATTGTGGGTGTACTTCCTGTCTGCCAAATCAGAAGCTTTAGACTGGTTTAGGAAATTCAAAGCACAAGTGGAACAGGAAACCAGTCTAACCATTCAGGGTTTAAGAACAGACAGAGGAGGTGAATTCATGCTTAATGAATTCAAGGAACTGTGTGATGAGCTGGGGTTAAGAAGACAGCTTACTGCTGCTCTTACACCTCAACAGAATGGTGTAGCTGAAAGAAAAAATAGAACAGTAATGAATATGGTTCGATGTATGTTAGCTGACATGCAGGTTCCTGCAGCTTTCTGGCCTGAAGCAGTGGTCTGGACCACTCATGTTCTAAATAGGAGTCCAACTACTGCAAACCAAGGCAGAACTCCACAAGAGTTATGGACTGGAAAACCACCTTCAGTGTCACATTTCAGGATATTTGGATGCTTGGCCTATGTCCATGTTCCAGATAAGGGAAGAAGGAAGTTGGATGACAAGAGCAATGCTTGTCATTTTCTGGGAATCTCTGCTGAGTCAAAAACTTATAAGCTTTATAATCCCAATACAAAGAAGATTGTGATCAGCAGAGATGTGGTCTTTGATGAGACCAAGGGATGGAGCTGGAAGTCTGACATTCAGCCAGTTCTCACACAGATTTATTGGGAGGGAAGTGATGAAGATTGGCTGGATTCAGACTCAGAAGAAGATGAGACAGATCCAGTTGCTGTGAATTCTGAAGAACCTCCTAGTCCTCATACACCAACAGGGCTAGAAGAGTCTTCTAGATCCACAGATTCTACACATGAAGATCAAACTGAGGAGGAGGAAGGGCCTCACACATCCACTGATGTACTGGGATTGCCAAGTGGTGGTCTAGGAAAAAGGAAAAGCAAGCTACCTGGACACCTTGACATCTATGAACTGGGATTCACATCCAGTGACTGGATAGCCATGGTAGCTATCTCAGATGATCCTCAGACCCTCGAAGAGGCTATTCTTGATCCTATCTGGAGGGAAGCAATGAAGCAGGAGCTCCATTCCATTAAGAAGAATCACACCTGGACACTAACCACTCTACCTGCAGGTTTCCAAGCTATTGGTTTGAAGTGGGTGTTCAGAACCAAGTTGAAGGAAGATGGATCCATCGACAAATTCAAAGCAAGGCTTGTAGCAAAGGGGTATGCTCAGAGACATGGACTTGATTATACTGAAGTATTTGCTCCTGTGGCTAGGTGGGATACAATCAGAACCCTACTGGCCTTAGCAGCATATCATGGTCTCACAGTTTACCAACTTGATGTAAAGAGTGCCTTCCTTCATGGGGAGCTTTCTGAAGAAGTATATGTTAAGCAACCTCCTGGGTTTGAGGTTGCTGGGGAGGAAGAGAAAGTTTACAAGCTTCATAAGGCCCTTTATGGCCTGAAACAAGCCCCTAGGGCCTGGTATAGCAAAATTGAAGCCTATTTCATTCAATCTGGCTTTGAAAGGTGCACATATGAACATACCTTGTTCATAAAGAGAGCTGGTTCTGGTATTCTGATCTGCAGTCTCCACGTGGATGATCTGATGTATGCCAGTAATGATGAGAAGATGATAGCTGAATTCAAATCATTTATGCAATCAGAGTTTGAGATGACTGATCTTGGAAGGATGCACTACTTCCTTGGGGTTGAGGTGTTGCAGAATGAGAAAGGAGTGTTTATCTGCCAGCAAAAATATGTTAAGGAGGTTCTAGAGAGGTTCAAACTTCTGGAATGCAACCTAGTGCACAATCCAATGGATCCTGGAATCAAGCTCACTAAAGCTGGAGATGGTGTAATGGTAAATCCTACTGAGTATAAGCAACTCATAGGAAGCCTGCTATATCTAACTGCTACAAGACCAGACGTAATGTACTCAGTATGTCTTCTTAGCAGATACATGGAACAGCCTACAAGACAACACATGTTAGCTGCTAAGAGGGTCTTGAGGTATCTCAAAGGGACTGCTGAGTTTGGTATCTGGTACAGAAGGAAAGGAACTGAAGAAGAAGGGTTGATTGGCTACACAGACTTAGATTATGCTGGGGATGCTGATGACAGGAAGAGCACCAGTGGATATGCATTTTCTTGGCAGGATGAATTGTATCCTGGGCTTCAAAGAAGCAACCTGTGGTAACTTTGTCAACAACAGAGGCTGAATTCGTGGCTGCAGCTTACTGTGCTGCACAATGTGTGTGGTTGAGAAGGATCTTGGAACAGATGGGATGGAAGAAAAGTGCACAGGAGGCAACAGTTATCCTGTGTGATAACAGCTCTACAATTAAGCTCTCTAGGAATCCTGTGTTGCATGGGAGAAGCAAGCACATTGACGTTCGTTTTCATTTCCTTAGAGAGCTAGTGAATGAAGGAATAGTACAGCTAGAGCACTGTGGAACTCATGAACATGCTGCTGACATTCTGACCAAGGAATTGAAGACTGAGAAATTTCAAGTGTTGAGAGGAAGATTGGGAGTGTGTGACAAAGATGAGTTTTCAGCAGTAACTAAAGGTTCTTACTGATCTACTGTATGAACTGAAAGGTTTCAGTTCATGGGGAGGATATGTTGGAGTTCTGAGGAGGGGTTCTGAGGTTCTGCAGAAGACTGGAATCCGAGAAGCAGTAGGATTGAAGGTTGGCGCCAGAGAGATTCAAATAAATGACACGGTGTCGTTTTGGTTTATGGTTTGTGTCTTGTATCTGTCAAGTCTGTGTTACACGTAGTCGTTTTGGATTAGTTCTGTTTAGGTACCTAAGTCTTGTGTCATTGTGTTCTAGGTCCTTGAGTCGTGAGATAGCTGTTGAGAGCTTTTAGCTCAGTTTGTTAGATAGGTTAGTCATGGATGCTGAAATCCAGGATAGAGAGGGTTAGATGGGTTACTGGTTGCCGAGTTTGGTGATCAGGAGCGTGTATTTAAACCTTATTGTTTTCAATCAATAAAATATGTCAGTTTGCAATATCTTGTGAGGTTTACATTGTTTCTATCTTAGATTGCCCAAACAAGGAAGGGAAGCCCAAACAATTATCCTGAAGACCAATGGCACCAACATTTAGGAACTCACCAAGAGCTTCCCGATCCGATTGAATCATGTTCGGGCTGATATACAATGCTGATTTATGCAAATTGACTTGTTGGCCACTAACACTCTAATAATCCCGCAAGAGATCCAGTAACTTCAGCCCGTCCCTGAACGATGCACGGAGGAAAGGAAATGAATCGTCCGCCAAAAGGAGATGAGACACCATCAAACAACGGACATTCATTCGAATTCCATGGAGATCATGATCCCGGATAGCCTGATTAATCAAAGCAGTAAAGCCTTTGGTACAAAGCGCAAAAAGGAGATGAGAAAGAGGATCTCCCTGACGGAGGCCACGAGAGAAAGCAAAATACCCTAAAGAAGAGTCGTTGATCTTAACGGAGAAGGAGAGCGTTGACCTTAACGGAGAGGGTGGCCGTAGTGGTAATACATTCTTTAACCCACCGAACCCATACTGGATCAAACCCCAACTTATGAAGCAAAATATCCTTCTTTCTTTGTATTTCATTAGTGTCTAAATTTTCCAAGGCCCGGGGCCCACACCCATACTAAGCAGGCAGAACCCTAAACCCCTTTGCCCAGGAGAACTTGGTTGACCAAGCGGTCCAAATTCACGACCGACGACCCGCCCGGCCCAGCAGCTTCACGAGCCAATTTCCCCCACTCCCCGGCTTTCTTCCTCATCTTCTCCCCTTCCCCACCATTCATCATCAGCTCCTTAACCACCTCCTCCACCGCCGCCCTCTTCACATCCTTCTGGATCTCCGCCCCGATCCCCCACTCGCTACACGCATACTTGCAGTTGGTCGGCTGGTCCCCAAAGAAGGGCCAGCACAGCACCGGAACTCCCGCTGTCAGGCTCTCCATCATCGATCCCCAACCACAGTGCGTCAGAAACCCTCCGACCGCCGGGTGGTTCAGCACCTCCTCCTGCGGGCACCAACCCGATATGAAACCGGTCCGGCCCGCCCTCTCCTCGAACTCGGGCGGAAGAACCGCCGACTCGCCCACGACCAGGTCGGGCCGGATGACCCAGAGGAAGGAGACCTCGCTGTTGACCAAACCCATCGCGAATTCGGTCAGGTGCTCCTTGGACATGGTGGTGATGCTCCCGAAGTTGACGTAGATGACGGAGTTGGCCGGTTTGTTGGAGTCGAGCCAGCGGAGGCACTGTGGCTCTTCCTTCCACAGGCTGTAGCTGATGGCGTCGAGGGTTGACTTCGACTCCATCTGGTCGACGAGCAGCTGCATGGGGGCGATGGGGTAGACGCGGTCGGAGTAGGTGGAGTTGAGGGTGGCGATGAGGTTTGGTTCGAGGGCGTCGAAGGAGTGGATGACGATGGCGGAGGCTCTGGCGGCGGCGTCGGCGCATTCCATCAGGCAGTGGAAAGGCGGGTCGTTGGGGTCCGTCGTCTGGAAGAAGCTTGGAAGGTCTCGGAACTGCATGTTCTTCATTCCCGGAACTTCCACGGGCTTGTCCAGGTATCCATTCGTCAAATAGCTGTCGTCTGTACAAGTTGTTTAATACATTTTTTTCCCATTTTGAGGGGCATGTTATACACTTATAAGTTTCATAATTGTCATTTTGATTAATTCCATTTACATAGCATCATCATATCATATCATGATCTTATATATTGTTATATGTAATATATTAAATGACTATGATAAGATGGCTTGACAATTTTTCCGCTCAACAAAATATCAAAGTGAATATCATTTTGTAAATTTATGGTATTATAAAATTCCATTTATCTCACCATTGTCATATTCACATAATACTATGTATTATAGTGTTGGATCAATAATATCATCTTACCACTGTCATATTAGAGTTTCATTACTATGATAGGACTATACAATATTACAATCACTGTGATAATATCATATAATACGATAATCGTGTAAAAAAATTTGTGCTCCAAAAAATATTTAAATAGATTTAATCTTACAAAGTAAAAAAAAATCAATTTTCTATGTAATTGTTTTGAAATTTGAGTTAAACAAATGAGATACATATGGTCTATTGCAAAATTCATGAGCGATTAAAAAACTTCTTGATTATCACCTTAAATTCAGCGGTAGCTCACTCGCAACCCCAAAATATGTGTTAGTTGCATCTCCAAATTTTTTGAATTGCCCTTTATTAACATAGACTAGATCTAGTTTTTTTTTCTTTTTTCTTTTCAAATCAACGAATAAAATTCGATTATAAAGTACTATATAACCATACGTGCGTTTTGCACTGTACCTTAAACCTTTAACATAATATCTTTAATTTTCAAAAATAAATCTTACAGAGCTAAGAATTTAAGTTAAATAATTAAATCTTGTTATTTCTTCATTTCGATGAATTAACTATCTATATACTAGAGAATTGTGTTTTATTTTACCTTTGAAAGGAGTGATGCCTTGTTCCAAGAGAGGGCGGAACATCCTAAACCCCATGAACCCGCAAGCAGAGAAGCTCCAATAGCTGACCGAAGGGACGCCAAACTCCCGAGCCACATCGATCGCAAACGGCATCGTATCCGCAATCACGCAGCTCACGCGCGGCCCGCCACCCGACAGCTCCGGATCGTTGAGCCTCGCCACCAGCTCCCTGAAGGGAGCCTTCATGAAGGTGAGGATGGAGTTCAACAGCATGGGAACGTCCTGCGTGGACCCGAGATCGGATGGCGGGATCCCGTCGGGGATGGCGGCGAACCTGAAGTCCGGCAGGCCGTCGAGGGCGCGTGGGCCTTTGGTGTTGAGGAAGCGCCTGTGGTTGAACTCGCTGTTGACGAAGGTGATGTAGAAGCCTCTGGCGTGGAGCAGCTTGGCCAGCTTGAGGGTGGCCTTGATGTGGCTTTGGGCAGGGCACGCGATGCAGACCGCGTGTGGCCTAGACGCGGGTCGGAGTTCGGCCTCGTTCGAGCCCATTGGATTTCTTTCTTCGTTTCTTTTAAGACTGGGAACTTGGGTTTGATCGATTGATTGATGGTGAATTTGTTAGCCAGCCATTTCATGACTGGGGTTTTATATGGTGGAGAATTGGGCAGTACAAAATTACCTTCTTTTTTTTTTTAATCGGATATTTTTATGTTATAATTTGTACTTTGGATCGTATGAATTGGCTGATTGTTGCAGTGAGTTGTATTTTCATGGCAGTACTGGATTTGGAGTGTGGTTAATGGGCATCGTTGTCGGTTGCTAATTTAATTATCTATTGGTTAACAAATTGTTGAATATGTCCCATTTTCATGGATGCCGATTTGCCGGAGCCCATTTTTTTAATTTGATTGGTTTTTGGTTGGATCGGTAGGTGTCAATGACTCATTAGCTCAAAATCTGATTCTTGGTGATCACGAAGTTCACGTGAACACCTAGTCCATCACTCTATGTGAACACCAATTTCTATGTGTACTTTACTAAAACGAATCTTTACGCAGGGGCAATGAAAATCATTCATCAACAAACAAATTTTTTTACTGTTCATTGGCCAGCCAGAACTATACAAAACCTACCAGCAAAATTTCGTGATATTCACTCCAAAAAGTCATCTTGATATGCATTCCAAGAAAAATTTCGTGATGATATTCTAGACCTGAAGTAGATAATATATTGTCGAATTTTTTTTTTGGATGTTACAAAAATCATTCATCTTTCACAACAACAAAAATCTAAAATAATTTTCATCTATAAACAAAACTTATACTGTTCATTGGCCAGCCAGTACCTCACAGAATGGAAGTTCAGTAGTTATCGGTTAAAACACAATATAGTTTGTTAACATTGTAAAAAATTAAAATGACTTCAACCCATATCATATTTGATGGTGAAGATTTTTAGTTCGATATTTATTTATTTATTAGCACTATACCGCGCAGACAAAGCATTAGTGTGAAAAATTCTATTTCATAAGTTACCTCTGAATGGCAAAATTGATCTTGAGTAGACAAAACAACCGTGCTAATAATGTGTGACCGTGCTAATAATGTGTGATAATTAGATAATTACTCCAAATATGGAATGAGCAATAGAATAGTAATGAGAAGTAGAGGAAAGGAAGTAACAATGATTTTATTCAAAACTCTGAAACTGAAATATATATATAGGGTACAGTACAACTGAACTACAAGAGCGTGGAAATACAAAATTGAGAAAGGAAGTGTATTGGCCGATATTCGTCTTGTCTTCTTAGGGCCCGTTTAGTATTATTTTGTTGTTGTGGTTGCAGTGGTGTTGTGTAAACAGATGTACAACTAGGGATGACAATCAAACTCATGGTCGCGGGTATCCGACCGCCCCCGACCCAGTCATCACTGGTAATCCCCGCTTTGACTGGGTATGGGGCGGGTATGGGTAAAACCCGCTAAAAGTTTGATGGGTATGGGGCGGGTATTGTTTTAGCCTCCCCGCCCCATACCCATACCCATATCCGCCCCGCCCAGAGAATTTCTTTACATATACAAAAATATGTAGATCAAATTGTAAGATATCAATGATGATGAGGATAACTCGAGGAAATAAATAGTAGAATGCAATTGAGTGATCACCTTAATCAAAACCTAATTCATTTCCCTCAATTCTCCTTTCACTCTTTCACTTTCCCCCTTGTCAACAAGATTATGTTAGTTAATTATTTCTTAGTAGATGTATCAGAGTTAGAACATAATAATTTGAAATATATTATAGTCTATATTATGTATTAACGAATGTTTTAGAATCATATTCTTTGAACCGTATTAAGAAAATGATCGTGTTTTGTTGAATTCGTGATATAATAGGTACATTTAGAGTTGTAGTTAAAACTTTTCTTGTAAATTTTAGGATAATAATGTTGGATGTACGGGTACGGATATTACCCATGGGTACCCGAAACCCACGGGTACGGGGATAGGTTTGCCAAATATTCCCCCGCATGGGTATGGGGCGGGTATGGGTTTGGATATTTGAAGATGGGGATGGGGATGGTTTAGACAAACCCGCCCCAAACCCGCCCCATTGCCATCCCTATGTACAACCACAACAGGAAAAAAAACAGAAAACACAAACTTGTTTAGTTGATAAATCTAAAAAATCATGAAAGCTGAAAACAAGAAACAAAAACGCGTTTAGTTACAACAGGAAACAAAAACAAGCAACAATACTAAACGGGGCCTTAGGGTTGTTTAGAGGTTGTGATTTGAAGTTGTGTATTTAGCCAATTCATGTAATGTAGAGATTTAATCATTTTTTTGGTTTAAGTTAAGTTACAATACATGTATTTACTTTTTAAGGGCCCCCTCTAATCCCTCAAAATGAAGGATTGACAATCTCTAGCTAAAGTTGAGATTGTAAATGAATGATTGTATGTCTATATTTTTATTTCACTTTTATCCCTTCTATTTTTTGTTTATTCCAACATTAGCCTCATCCATTGCTCTCTCTCCTTGGAAAAATGAGATAATGAAGGGCAAATATGTCCTTAAATCAGAAAGTATATTACTTTTATAGATATGTGAAAAGCACAATCTATACATCCAAACAAGGGATTTTTCAAATACAATCATTCAAACAAAACATCAATTTAGAAAAAATGCACACATTAATAGAATTCATCAATTTAAAGAATCACAACTTCCAAACGAACCCTTAGTTCCCTTTGAAGAGAGTATACTAACTAAAGCCTTGTACAACTCATGACAATGCATTCCCAACCTCCTTGCCACAGCCGGCCGCCCAGCGCCGCCCAGCCGCCTGCCTCCGCCAGACCAGCGCCGCCATCCGCCTCGCCTCCGCCCGCCCAGCGCCGTCCAGCCGCCTGGCCTCCGCCCGCCGCTGCCCGTGCAACCGTCGCCGCCGCCCTGCCTCCGCCGCCATTCCGCCGGCCGCCGACCATCTCCCCGCAGCAGGTAAAACAGACATGTTCTTAAATGTATTATTATGTTAATATTGTTGCTTCTGAATATGTTCTTGAATTATGGTATGTATGTAGTGATTGCTAGATTAGTTATTTGTGAATTTGGATTGATTGCTATGTTCTTTGTGAATTTGGATTGATTGTTATGTTCTTTGTTTTGTGGTTTACCTCAGTTATGGAGAAAATTGTTGAAAATGGTGATGTTGATTGTGTGGAGATTCAGAAAAATGATAATGGGGAGAGGGATGATAGCAAAATATGGGGTGATAAAGCTGAATCTGTGTTCATTGATCTTTTGGTGGAAGAAGTTAAAAAGGGAAATCGTGTAACTTCAACCTTTTCACCAACTGGATTCGCCTTTCGGCAAGAGGGCGTAAGGAATTATTCAACTTTCGGCATTCAAGTCTGCGTAATGTGATTGAGTGATTGAGGAAGCAAACAAGTATTGTCATTGCTTGTTGCGCCTTACATAATTTCATCAAGATTCATGCCGAAGATGATAAACTATTTCATGAATATGAAAATTATGAAGATGAAGAAGGTTCGACTTCTGGGGTTGAACTACCACTCACTGAGTTCAACGTCAGCTATGCAGCAACACGTGAGATGACCGAGAAGCGTGATGCCATTGCTAATCAGTTATGGAGTGATAATCATGTTTAGTGTTTTTTTTTTTTGTAAGGAACATGAATGATGTTAGCTATGTTGACTGTTGTGAGACTTTGCTTAATATTGCGGACATATCTCTTTTTCTGGTTTTTAGTTCTTATAGTAGTAACTAAACGCGTTTTTGTTTCTTGTTGTCAGCTTTCATGATTTTTCAGATTTATCAACTAAACAGGTTTGTGTTTTCTGTTTTTTTCCTGTTGTGGTTGTACATCTGTTTATAAAACACCACTACAACCACAACAGCAACAAAATGATACTAAACGGGGTTGAACTGGTTGTGCCGGTAATACCGGCCGGAACGGCTCTTTCCCCACAACCCGTCTATCGTACCGGCCAGGCACCGATTTCCGGTTTTACTGGTTCAACCGGTTGGTACGATCCAGTTTCCTTTACCATGCAATTGGGTAGTAGCAAGGTTGTGAACCTGCGGGTCGACCCACTTTGACCCTGACCTAGTGAGAAAAACGGACCGCACGCACCCGCCGGGTCGAACGCTATAAGGTACCGGATTGAAGGTCAAATTGTGCCATTTTTTTCTTTGGTTTGCGAAATGCGCCTATTTTCCGAATTTTCTTTTCGCCTAACTCAATCTTTGGAATTCTAAGTGTGTGTGAATTTTCACTATATGTTGAATCTAAGTACGAAATGTTATTTTGGTGTAATATTATATCTTATAATTCATATTTTAGATGAGATTTGATATAATTTATAAGGATAAGTACAATATAATGACGCTTTCCATATTTTCGGGCTAAACCGGGTTAAATCGGGTGACCCATTAACCCTTGACCCACTAGCTCAACCGGGTCCGGGTCAACCCGTGGGTTGACAACCTTGGGTAGTAGTTTACAGTCGTTATTTTTGGCTTAATTGCAAGTTTGGTCACTCGAATTGCTTAAAAAATTCACGTTTGCCACTCAAATTGATTTATTCCATTTATAGTCACTCGAATTAGTTGAACAGTCCAAGTTTGGTCACTCTCCGTTAACCTCCGTTAGACTCCGTTAGTGACGACCGTTAAGTGATGACGTGGCTAACAGAAAGACACAGTCAGCATTTTTTAACATTAAAAAACGACGACCCGACCCGCCAGCTCAGCCTTACCCGCCCTGTCAGCCATTCTTGCCCAACCGGCGAACCAACCCAATTAATTGACCCTAAACCCAAACCCGAGACCCGCCACCGTCGTTGTTGGTCTCCGCGATGTCGGTGGTGGGTGTAGTCTCCCTGGGAAACGCCGGCTTGTCGGAGCTCCGAGGCAACCACATGAAGTATTCCAAGTTCGCCGCCCAACCATCCGCTTCTACCTCGCCGTCCTGGTCCTCCCTCCCCAGCAGAACCGGGATGCTTGTGGCCTACACTCCGGCATTCCTCGCCGCCTTGTCCTCCCTGCTCCTCCTCCACCATGGCGGTGACGGAGCTTCGTCTTCTAGGCTCTTCCTGGTCGAATCCGCCCTCGCCGTACATTTCTTCAAAAGGGTTTTCGAGGTACGTACTTTCTCCCAGTTCCAATTCAATCCAGATCCAGCCCTTTTCTTCGAATGGAATTTTGATGGTTTTGTGGTCGAAATTGCTTGATTGCAGGCACAGCGATTCCGATAAGTGTAAGCTACTTCAGCGTTACAGCGCTCACAATCTACACCCAGATTTTGACGCAGGAGGCCCTGCTCCCAGAGCCAACCATGGATTTGAGGCTCTACGGGGTGGTTCTCTTTCTCATCGGGATTGCTGGCAATTTCTATCACCATTTCTTACTCTCCAAGCTGAGATCCTCCGGCGACGATGGCAAGAAGAAAGAGTACAAGATCCCCAAGGGCGGGATGTTTGAGCTGGTGATTTGCCCTCATTATCTATTTGAGATCCTGGGTTTCTACAGTATCGCCCTCATCTCTCAGACGCTCTATTCCTTCTATGGAAGCAAGTGTATGAAAATCCTGTACAACAGGTATGAGCTTCTATGGAAGCAGGTGTCAATTCTCAGGAACTCAGTACTCACCTGGTTGGTCTCGCTAGATCCAATCAATACATTGGACAAAATCCCGACCAGGAAATCAGTACCACGCGAAGACCAGCAACGACGGCGGCGGGTCTCGGGTTTGGGTTTAGTGTCAATTAATTGGGTTGGTTCGCCGGTTGGGCAAGAATGGCTGACAGGACGGGTAAGGCTGAGCTGGCGGGTCGGGTCGTCCTTTTTTAATGTTAAAATATGCTGACTGTGTCTTTCTGTTAGCCACGTCATCACTTAACGGTCGTCACTAACGGAGTCTAACGGAGGTTAACGGAGAGTGACCAAACTTGGACTGTTCAACTAATTCGAGTGACTATAAATGGAATAAATCAATTTGAGTGGCAAACGTAAAATTTTTAAGCAATTCGAGTGACCAAACTTGCAATTAAGCCCGTTATTTTCTTATTATGTCTTTATTTTTGCGGTATAGTCTTCGAATATCAAGAAAAGCCCAAACATCAAACCGGGAAGCCCAGTCCCTTATTTGGGCAGAAGAACCTCATTAACCAAACGGTCCAGATTGACGATCGACGATCCACCAGGCCCAGTAGCTTCTCGAGCCAGCTTTCCCCAATCCCCGGCCTTCTTCCTCATCTTCTCCCCCTCTTCTCCATTCATGAGCTCCCTAACCAGCTCCTCCACCGCCGCCCTCTTCACGTCCTTGTCGATCTCCATCCCGATCCCCCACTCCGTGCACGCAAACCTGCAGTTCATCGGCTGGTCGCCGAAGAAGGTCCAGCAGAGCACCGGAACTCCCGCCGTCAAGCTCTCAATAATCGATCCCCACCCGCAGTGCGTCAGAAACCCTCCGACCGCCGGATGGTTCAGAACTTCCTCCTGCGGGCACCAACCGGAAATAAACCCGACCCTCTCCGCCTTCTCCTGGAACTCCTTCGGAAGCGCCGACGACTCCCCGGTGACAAGGTCGGGCCGGATGACCCAGAGGAAGGGCACCTCGCTGTTCACGAAACCCATGGCGAATTCGATCAGGTGGTGTTGGGACATGGTGGTGATGCTCCCGAAATTGACGTAGATGACGGAATTGGGCGGCTGGGTGTCGAGCCAGCGGAGGCACTCTGGCTCTTCCTTCCACAGGCTGTAGCTGAGCGCGTCGAGGGTCGGGTGGGTCGAGATCTGGTCGAGGAGGAGCTGGATCGGTCCGACCGCGTAGACCCGGTTCGGGTAGGTTGAGTTGAGCGCGGCCAGGACGTTCGGTTCGAGGGCGTCGTATGTGTGAAGCAGAATGGCGGAAGCTCTGCCGGCTGCTTCGGCCCATTCCATCAGGCAGTGGAAAACCGGCTCTTCGGGATCCGTCGTCTGGAAGAAGCTCGGCAGGTCCCTGAGCCGGATGTTCTTCATCCCCGGCACTTCGATTGCCGTCTCCAGGTACCCGTTCGTCAAGTAGCTGTCGTCTGCCCGGGGTCAAAAATTGAAATCAGGGTATTTCGAAACAGAGTTTTCTTTGCTATATACAGAGATAATAAGTTAATTAATTACCTTTGAAAGGGGTGATGCCCTTTTCGAGTAGAGGTCGGAATTGGTGAAACCCCATGAACGCACAGGCAGCGAAGCTCCAGAAGCTCAAGGACGGGATGCCCAGGTCTCGAGCGACATCGATGGCGAAGGGCATGAGGTCGGCAATGACGCAGCTGACAGGAGGGTTTCCGGCGTCGGCGGAGAGGCTGGCGAGGAGGTCGGTGAAGGGAGCGGACATGAAGGTGCGGATGGAGTGGCAGAGCGCCGGAATGTCCTGGGTGGCGCCGGGGGTGGAGGGAGGGAGGCCGTCGGGGATGGTGGTGAATCGGAAGTCGGGGAGGCCGTCGAGGGCGTGGGGGCCTCTGGTTTGGAGGAAACGGGCGTGGTTGAAGTCGGTGTTGACGTAGGTGATGTGGAAGCCGCGGTGGTGGAGGAGCTTGGCGAGCTTGAGCGTGGCCTTGATGTGGCTCTGAGCTGGGTATGGGATGCAAACTGCATGGGGCTTCTTGGGCTGCGCCGCCTCGTTGGACCCCATGCTTCTTGGATGAACAAGATCGAGCTTTGTGTGTTGTGACTACTGTGCTAAAATTGGGTGGATGGAAAATGAAATGGTGTTTTGCTGTCTGCGCGCCTATCTTCTCCGACCTCATGAACTATATATATAGGATGGTTTCAGTGACGGACCCAGAAATTTTATATAGGGGTGTCCTCTTTTAAAAAATAAACTAAATAAAAATTAAAACTAATTAATTCTTAATAAGAAAATACCTTACACGTTCAAGTTAAAAAAGTTCACAATGTATTTTCATATTCGGAAATAATTGTAGAATACACTTAATGGCTACACTATTCAAAATAATTGTCTCTGTATAACCTACTAGAAAATCATTTACGAACTAATCACATATTCGATTTCTAAACTTGTTCTTGATGTAACCCAAAACCGAAAAGACTCTTTCAACACTGGTCGTACAACCATAAAATCGTACAAATTAAGGGTAGCTTGGAATTAGTTTAATTGTTAGGTTTTGAAAATAATTAGACATAGGCTAGGGAATGTCATTTTACTATTACACAATGTTTAAAATCGAACAACAAATGAGTTGTAGCCTAATAAAATTATGTTTATCAATAATAATAGTATCATAGGTTTGAATTATCCAAACTACCGCTTATAGTCTCATGCGCAAACTAAGAAATGAGAGTAGGATAATCATTTTTTTTAATTTCAAGAGTGTCCTCCCATCAATTATAATTTTTTGGTCCATACTTAAATTACCATCGTGGTTTGAATAATTATTATCCCAAAATTTAGGGGGTGTCATGTGCCCTGGGTCCGCCACTGATGGTCCAGACTCAATAATTAGAGGTCAGTTGCCACTTGGGGAAACTATTTCTTGCCCTTACTCCCTTTCTGATTGTATAATAGTTCTCATCACCACTAATCATTGTTGTTTCTTGTTCTTCTAATTTTCGTGATTCTGCTATAGTCATCGTTTCATCATAAGTACTAAATGTAAATGCTAGCGTCAGCCCTCCTTGAGGGCTTCTACCACGATCTAAAGTACTACTGGTGTTTCAAGATACGAATTGTATCATAAATTAAAAATACAAATTTTATTTTTATCACAACGAAATTTCTATCTTTATATTACGATGTAAGTTTAGTTTGTACCATAACGTCATAAAAGTATAAATTCAGTTTATAGCTTGTACCATAAATAAATTTGTACATGATAGAAGTCAATTTGTACTATGCCATAAACTAAAAAAAATAAATTTGTCTCATAAACTAATTTTTTACAAAAAGATATATATACAAACTGAATTTGTACCATACCTCTAAAAGTACAAATTTAATTTGTATCATTAATTAAAAAAAAATTAAAAGACCACTACTATGGAACATTAGCGTAAGGTACATCATTTAATTTAGTTTGTGGTTGACTAACTCTTAACACACCAGTGGCAAAATTCTTTCTTAATAGTACAGCTCTCGCCACTCTTTATGCAAAATGCTAAGATGCATTAATTGCTCTTGCTAGGTCACATTAGCTATGTAGAAAGTACAAAGCAAATAAACTCACTTGTGCTATAAAGGGAAATAATTTGTCGGGCATCGTCTAGTACCTATATCATATATAATAAACTGCAGCCTTGCACACTTGAGAAACTATTCTTGTATTTGTTGATGTGACTTGAATCGGACAATCAGCCGCTACGATTGGAATAGTCGGGGGTCTGGGCCTGATCTGTAATCGTTTCCTTTACCAGATTGGATTAGGTTTATATCCACATGGAGCATCTCCTAGACTCCTACCCGTGGACTAGCTAACACACATTGTGTTAGTGAACCACGTAAATTGTGTGTCGTGTGCTTTCTGCTTTTCGTACGTATTTTTGCTTTTTCGATTCCAGCGATTTCTCGATCCATAATAGCGCAGTATGAACAGTATTATTTTTTCAGATAGTATAGTACTACTCCCCCAAATCTGACGTTCTGATAACTTGTTTTTCCACAAACCGACCCCCTTGCATACATCATTTGTCATCTCAACAATAGTTTCGTCCCAAGTCCCTCGGCGCTTGATTGTCTTCATTCCTAATGAATGTATAATTCTCATCACCACTAGGGCTGTCAATTTGGTTTGGTTTGGTTATTAAGCATGAAAAACCAAAAATAAAAAACCAAAAATAAAAAACCAAAATCAAAACCATTAAGGCTCTTATTGGTAGGGATGGCAACCAAACCCGAACCCACGGGTACCCACCCGACCCAACCCGGTCAACGCGGGTAAAATCCGTGTTGACGGGTTTTGGGTTGGGTTTGGGTTTAAACCCGTTCACTATTCACCGGGTTGGGTTGGGTTTGGGTTTAGGTAAACCCGACCCGTGGGTACCCGCCCACACATATAATTAATTTTCTCGGTATATTTAATATTTTAAACAACTAATCTTATTTATGTTTGTGGAGACATGTCTAATTTTTTCTTTCTAATTGTGTAGAATGAAGTTTGTGTTATCGAGTGGAGAGTGAAGAAACTTAATTGAAAGGAAGAAGCCTTCAATTAATATGTTATTTATGGATAATTTATGATTTACTTCAATTTTCTTGAGTTTTCTAGAATGCGTTGAACAATTTATATAATTAATTTGTGATTTGCTTGAATTTTCTAGAATAGTGTTTTAAATATGGATAATTTGTATTGAGAGATTGATATTTGATTTTAATTTTGATAGGAACATGTTATTGTAAATTTTTTACGACAAAAACCCGTGGGTACCCATGAACCCGCGGATACCCAGCGGGTTGGGTTGGGTTTGAGTTTTTCAAACCCAGTGGGTTTTACCCCGGGTTTTTTTCACGGATAAACCCATGGGTTTGGGTTTGGCAAAACCCGACCCAACCTGACCCATTGCCATCCCTACTTATTGGTTTTCGGTTGCCAAAAACCAATAAGAGCTTTAATGGTTTTGGTTTTGGTTTGGATAACCAAAAAACCAACATGTACTCATACACTCATATGTATTCTCATTTCCCTCTTTTTTATTGAATAAACGTCATAATAATGGTAAATGACCATTACAAATTATTGGTTGGCATGCGTGTCAAAAGAAACAAAAAAAAAATGTTGATAAATAATTTTATTCTTATTGGTTTCTTAATGGTTTCTATTGATTTTCGGTTTTAACCAAACCAAAACCATTAAGTTGCTTATTGGTTTAAAACCGAAAAACTGAAACCATTAGCTTTCCAATTGGTTTGGTTATGGTTAAAACCAAAAAACCAAAACCAAATGGACAGCCCTAATCACCACTCATCATTTGCTGTTTTATTTTATTTATTGTTCTTATAATAAGTTATAATTTTCGTGATTCTGCTATAGTCATCGTTTCATCACAAGTGCTAGGTGCTCGCGTCAGCCATATCCGTTACATTGGAGCCAACTTTCCTCCAAATATAGAGGCTCCCCCATTTATAGAGGCTCCATTGGAGTTAGCCTTATCACCAAATGGAAGGTACATAATTTAGTGTGTGGCAGACTGCTACTTCTTTGCCCACTACTACAGTGACGAATTTCTTTCTCAACAGTACAGCTCTCGCCACTCTTTACTTATATATAAGTTTATTGTATGATGATACTGTGGGAAATCGATACCGCACACACAATGTTGAATGCATTAGGGCGCTGGTCCGCACAATTATGCAGCAGCATGCTTCACTGATTGCACCACTGCAGTTTTGGAGAATCCTTGCTACGGATTCTGGTGTAGTTTTGGACTTTTGGTGTCACTTTGGGAGGTAGAAATTAAACAAGGTTGGTGGAATTCGTTGAAAATGTGCCCAAAAATAATGTGTGGGCAGTGGGGCCTAAGTTAATTTGCAGCAAGAAGTTCTGGGTGGTGCATTGAGTTGAGACTGACCACCGCCCTCAATGAGCGGTCGAGCAAGATTTTTATATGCCCCGCAATAATGCATTCTTGTTACTGTGTGAATCATTTATTGGGCGGCTTGTAATAATGGAAATGGTTTTAGATTGTATGCGATGAGGATAAATATTATTAATATTAATCCGAATATTTTATCTTTGCAAAAATATTAACATATTTATACTTTTCATAACCATAACTAATCCCATTAACACACCGAAGACATAAAAACTTTTCAGCCAATTAATTTTAACATGTTACATTCTTTCGTTGCCGTTTGTAATTCAAAAAAACTTTGCACAAAAAAGTAAGATTAATTGTGTTATTCAAAATAACAATCATCGAACAAAAAAATTGACACATATATTATCATTTCATACCGTGTTGGTAATGCTTGATAGTTTATAAGATTACACCATAGTGGTATCCAAGTGTATCATGCTGCTACGAATATATCATAGTGCAGAATGATTGTATACCTAGTAGTAGGAATATACTAATCGTCAATTACCACCCGTTACCACCCTACATCGGTATACAATGGTATCATTAATGACGTTGTACATCAGCTGCCACATCCTTTTGTTAATTTAACTTTTTAAAAGGTTTGAATAGTAAATTGAATTAATAAAAAAAAGGAATTTAAAAGGGTTTGATAGTAAATTGTATTTATCGAAAAAATACCTTTTTTCGAGGTTAGGTCGTCCGAACTATAGTTTGACTGTAAGTTTAGGATGAAAATTGTAAGTTGTAACAATTTTTTCTACAACAAAATTGTAAGTTGTAACAACATGGTATATTCTCATGATACCTATAACCCATTTTATTTTTTTCGATTATTTTTCAAAGTAGAAAAGCGTATATGATATAAAAATGTGTATTAACGGAGTACACTATACCAATAATCCATTATATATTTAGTAAAAACTAATTGTCTCATGACACACCTATATATTTTGATCCAGCTCCGCCCATGAAGACACCGTTTGTTTGAGCCTTACATAAGACAGTGCAAGTGTATTTCTTTCGTGGAGAATGTTTTGCAACTTTATTTTATTTTATTTTCTTTCTTAAACCGCAGAATGTCCTTTGGAAAATGTTATTAGAGACATTCATGTGGGTGGGTGCGAGCTCAGCCAGAATTTTAGTGATCAATGATGGACGTATCACATTCACGTGCAATGTAGTAAAAAATGAGTTTCTACGTATAAATGTTTTGCTGATCTAAAA